ATCGTCGAAGTTCCTCAACGCGAATCATCGCCACTTAAACGCAAAAAATAGAACGATTCGCGCGTCCAGAATACTAGAGATACAGCGCTCTCGAAGCTTTCCGAATCGTCGAATGCGTTCGTAGGCGCGTTTCTCCTAAGCTCGAGAGAATCGAGGACCAAGAACCGACTCCGCGAAGATGTTTCGCCGTCTCGGAAGCTTCGTCGAGTACCAGGACCGGCGATAAACGGATTCAATCGTCGGCAACGATTATCTCGAACGCGTGAATTCCTTTGATTTCTGTTAATTTCGAAGACGCAGACAAGACTTGCTCGCAAGCAGTTTCACTGTAAATGTATGTATAACGCGTGCTGTCCATTCAATACAGACGTTATTTATTTATTGGAGTCCTACGTGTTAAGTATACGTATTTTCGTCCGTTTCGTTCGCACAATGCACCGCAGCCGCTCGAAATAATTGGAGAATTTGCTCGACTAACTTTAGACTCTCTTTCCATCCGATGCGTCGAATGTTCCAACACGCCATGAAAAACTAGACCATGTAAATTCGGTGGAAAATGTTGTCGTATATCGCTCAAAAGAGTCGGAGGATCGAGCACTCAAACGTAACGTGTAGACTGCGGATTTTATGCATTTATGGCGCATGCAAATATGAGAAACGTACGCTAATCGTACATGGAATATATATATTTATGCAGATCAAAATGCTAATATCGGTATATTAACTTAAAAATATTCAAAACATATTCTTCGTGCGTTTTGCTTATGTTCTCCGTATTAGCATGCGTCATAAATGCATAAAATCCGCAAGCCAATAGTAAACAATAGTTTGGAAGCTACTATACAAAGAGAAAACATTCTATATTTTACGTTGTTTCTAACTTAGTTTTGTCTAAAAAAAAAAACTGTTATTTCTTGTATTGTACTATTCGGTTATTTCCTCAAGTTTGTGAGTTCTTTGATTGTTTCGAACGGTGTGTAACTTAGCGAGAGCCGGTGGCGTGTATCGAGAAGAAGCAAAGGCGCTCGGTGTGTGCCTCTGTATGGTCCACGTGGATGCGGGAAACAAGAGCCTCGGTATGGTGTTCGTTAACTATTGATCGCTGAACGAATCGGCTAAATTCTGAAGACGAACGGGGTGACATCGGTGGCGCTGGTCGCACGAGCAGATTTTACCCTCGCGTCCCTCGCTTGTAAATAGTAAATTATCCGTGCAGGGGCCAGCCGTTCGGTTCGTTCTCCGTTGAATTTATCTGACGAGTAAGTTTGTAGCGGACAAACTACAATCATGACGCTCTCGTTAAGCCGTGTGTGACGCCTGTTAAGTGTGTTCAGTGTGACGTCCAACGACAAATAAATTTATCGGGAGACGAGTCGGCCGGATGATAGGGTTGATCGCTCGCGCGACGTAGACGCGGAAGACGCCGAAAATAACCGCGCGAGACCAATTGGGTTTCGAAAGACACCTAAAGCGAGGAGATGTGTTCCTCGCGCGATATTTTCTCCTCGTCGTTCGTACCTAAGGGCTCGTTCGGACTACCGATTTTCCCTCCCGTGAGAGTTTAGTTTTGTAAATGGGAAATATTGGACACCATCTCGGTTCACATTCATCTACTGTTGCCATTTGAACAGTGTTCTTTTAATCGTATCTACTTCCTTTGTTAACTCTTTCCAAATATCTTTCTTAGTTTGTCGAGCAGCTAGGTCATAGCGACATAATCTATCATTAGTATCAGTACCAAAAGTTAATTTTCCTCAAATTTAGACACGGTGTCACGGACCCATACACGAATGCGCATACCTGGTCTTACCACCTCTACCAGACCTCTACCAACTCTCGTTCGAGGGGAAGCCGATAGCCTGAACGAGCACTAACACCCTCAAGAGAATCTATCTGTATTCGACGGTGATTTGTATATTTGTAGATACCGCGGAGTGAAAGAGAAGCTTCCAAACGCTCTATGCATTGTCTGCTCCTCTTGTGTCCAACGCGTCGCGATCGGTCAGACCGCGTAACCCGACTTAAGGTTTTATATCCTCGAACAGTGTTCCATTTTCTCTCCTCGTTTCGATGTTTCCGTGTTGCAATGGAAATTAATTGGAATTGAAAAGAAACGGGAATCACAGGCGGGACGAGATGGGTCGCGACCAAGAGAGGAGCGTGGCCTAAGAGAAAAAGTGTTTCACGGGGACGATGCCCGAGTAATTTATAAATAGTCCTAATTAACGTGGAAAAACCGCGTGATTCTAATTTAATTCCTCCCCCTTACCCCCACACCCTAGCCCCTCACGTCGTACGTCTCATACTTTGTACTTGGTTCCTAATTTATTCTTATTTTCGTAATTATTAATTGTCACGATTTAACTATTATTACTAATCCCGATCATTAGTTACGATCGATCAATTTATTCATTTTTTTTTTTTATTATTACTATCGATCGTTCGATTAATCAATTAATTCCTAATAACTAGCTCGCGTATTTGGTTAACGATACGTTTTAAGGACACGATTTATTATTTATGAAAATGAATATGAAACGAAAGAACGGAAAGAAGCACGCAATATACGACGCGAGTGCCTGGCGAGCTCAACCGCGATCGAGGGAGGCATCGGGGCGTGGCGCCAGTGTTGTTCTCCAATCGGAAAAGCCATTTTTCCAGCTGAAAACGATCTTCCTTGCATAAAACGATTCACACGATTTGTCGAAGAAAAACTTATCCGGGAAGTCTGTTTCACTAATTTCCATTAGACTATTAACGCCTTATCTACCAGGCCTATTTATCGAATATTCGGCAACTTTTGAATGCAACTTAGAAGGACTTTCTGTATTAGCGTATAAGCAGATTTCACCCTCATTATATACAAATGTGAGCTGTACATCTTGTACACATTGTAGATTCGTCAATTTAATAGCTGACGTGTGAGTATTTTAAGAATTATTTCACTAAAAGGTCGACAGACTTGTCTGTTCACACAAATTAAATACAGTAAATTCAACAACCAAAACACGGTTAAAGGACACCGCGATTAGGCAGCTTATGAATAGGCCTCTGGTAGGTAAAGCGTTGAAAGGGGCAGAGCCGCGTTTTATCTTTTGTATTTTTCGAGCAACCCGACAAGGAAATCGTTCTCCGTTCGCCGAGGATCGTTGGGTCGAGAGCAATGACTCGCGTTCGCGATTCACCGATATCGTTTAAGCGTACAGACAGTGGTGGCATTTTAGTACATCAGACAGCGCCGTAGCCATGTTATCGCGAAGATCAAGACGAAGAAGAGTATCGAAGAGAGAAAGAGACGCGAGTGGATGTCGCTGGGACGAAAAGAAATCGGTTGGTCGAGGCACGGAAAGAAATTCGAACAATTTTCTTTGGGTCGCAGGACACGCCGAGGTGTCTATCTCGGGTCAAGAAAGTTTGGGTTTGGCTGCACTGGTGGATCGGGAACGACCCGAGGGCACCGGAACCGCGAAATTCACGGGGAACTCAATGGTCGTTCCGATCGACTCTGTTTCGATCATGTTGTCCCTTGTCTTGCCTGCCTCTCGCGTTCCCGAATACCTCTGGTTTTCTTCCTCTTCTTCTTCTTCTTCTTCTTCTTCTTGTTTTGTTTTTGCATTATTTCTCTTTTTAATTTCCGGACGGAAACCCTCGCGCCCGGAGACACGCGGAGGGTTTCCAGACGAAATTTTCTCTCGTGAATTGCGTGCGCTTTAAAATGACGGCGGATGGTAGGTACCCCCGTCCGACATACCAAATCCGTACTCTATCGCGCGGTATGCTGTTCGTTGTAAATGTACCAAAGACAATGTCGATTAACTGACAAATAAGTAGTTTATTTAATGAAAAAAAAAAAAGGAAAAAAAGAAAAGAATGATATGAAAAATGGAGAGCCGTGTGAGAGAGGAATGCGCGCTCGCGCGTGCGGCGCTCTTTATAAAGAGCGTGAAACGATTAAATGCGGGACATATATATATAAATATATATATAAATATATATATTATATACGAAAGTTATCTATCCAAAGGAAGCTGCTAAAGTGTCATTTAGCTAGACGAGATTGATCACTGGATCCGCAATGTTGCATCGAAACATTGTTATTATTTTTGTAAAGAAAACCATGTACATGTATTAACTTAGCGTGCTCTGCGTATGGAAGCTTACGATATGTTGATTATTATTATTATTGCTATTATTATTATTATTATTATCTATTTTTATTATTATTATCTATTATTATGATTATGATTATTATTATTATTATTATTATTATATTGAAAGGAATAAAAACTTGTAATCTTGTTTCCCGAAATGTTTAAATAGCATAAATATCGAGATCTTACATGTTATCACATTTACATCTGATTCGTCGTGTTCCCGCCTGTCTCGCCAGATCTGCAACAGGCTACGCCGCTGTCCTTTGCACCCTCTCCCTTAAACAATGCGTAAACAATTAAGTATAAAAGGTCAACGTATCGTCACTGCGAACTATAGAACGTCCAAGTTTCAACTAAATATGAAATAGAACAGTCATGAAAATTAATTAAGTAGTCTCGTAAACACTGATGAATTTCAATTTACATTGTACACGCGCGATCAGCAAACTTTGAAAAAACGTTCGCCTCGTACCAGCTGATGAATCGCCGAGCTATAGTAAGTCCATACACCTCCTAATTACTATTTAATGTTCATTACTCCGATAATGAACGCTATCCTGAGTCCAGGTCAATGGTCTTCTTTTACGTGCGATAGACCGGAATCTCATGAATATTCAGTTGCCGGTCCGACCAATGTTTCGTTTCACTGCATCTTTCTCTATGCAGATTCTGCGTTTGAAACATACGAGATCGTTGAAGTTATATAACCCGAAGCAATTACTTGGGACGGTACTTAATTCTGATTAATTTTTAACATTTTAACGATTAACTTGAAACGTTTAATAACGTGATGTAAATTTAGTTATCACACGTAGGAAGGACTAACCTAACTTAAAAGACAAGAAGTAGAAAACCAGTTTTTTTCACTTTATTACATAATAAATCGATTTTTTTGTTATAAGTTTTTCGGTACTCTTTGTATAGTAATATATAGTAAAAATCGCTAAGGTTTAAGCGCAAAAAAACTAATTTATCGATATTACGAATCATGCTTCCTTTACTTGTGAAATTCTTTGGTTGCCTGGGAGGCAAGTATTAAATATACATACGTGATACAGTCTTCAGAGGAGATTAATTAAGTAGTACATCGTACACTTCAACAAACAAAGAAATAAAAGAATAGTTAAAAAAATGTCAATAAATTGTTATTGACATTTTTGATTAGCTAATGGTCGTTTTATCTGATAAACGAAAAATAAATGAAAAATTAACAAATGATGAACATAAACATTTGAACTTTTAAATAATATAAATTATTTCATTAAATATCACAGAATTCGTGTCGTTTGCGCAAGAAAAGATGATATGAATTATATGCGCATTACGTTTTGCATTGTTCACACGGTTCTGGTAAATTTTTGCACTTTTTTAAGTAGCCCTTCCAATAATTCGGAGGACGTAAATTGAAAAAACTATCGATCTGTATTGAAGTTCGAACGCGGAGGGGGGCAATTGGGGTCCAATTTATTACACTTTTCGCGACATCATCGAATTTGTGCCTCGACAGACTCAGCAATGCTGAAATAACACCTTCTTGTTGTTCATCCGATCCTAATTGAAAATAAAAATAATACGATATTAACATAATATTTAGTACCAGACATGAAACACACATACCTTCGCCGGATTTACTTAAGTCGCATAATTGTTCCACAATTCTACCGACCAAATTATTGTTGTCCTGTACTGGAAGCACGCGCATGAGATTACCTGCAATTACGAACATCATCAGAAAGTTCAAATTTAAATGTCTAATGAAATATAAAATTATTATTTTGTTAAACACGAGACTTACCAAGCAAACAAAATGCCCTATACGTGTTTGGAAGTTTATTCTCAATTATCATAGGTAGTAATGCACTCTTAATGATGTTCTTATATGCCCATTTTGGGCCTTCCCTCTTTGCCAGGAGTATGATGGCCGTTTCGGCTTCGACATGAGATTTTTCTAAAAGAGAAATTTATTTCATTAATTTAACTATATTAAATTAAATTTCAGGTGAAATAATCTTTGCTTACCTTGGAGAGAGGTTAAAAGTTCTTTCAACACATCTTTCGAAGCTGTTCCCATTTTATATTTATAGAATACAGATACTAAGTTCTTTAAAGCATTAAGTTTGGGAAGCTTTGCAGCTTGTTGCGCTGTGATAAGATGCGCTATGCACTTTGGCAATAATTCTGTAAGTTACATACAGTAACGATAATATAAACTACAATGTACGTTCACATTATTCAATTTAATGTGGCAATTATACATACCGTTAGTTGTGTCGTTATTTGGAAATACTTCTGGCCAACAGGTAAATACTGTATATAAAGCAACTGTTGCATGAAGTCCCAAAAAATACAGAATATCGCAACAGAATATCCTCACTTTTTCTCTATCTTTTTTAACCCGCGCTAAGACGGTGTACATTCTACTAAGTGACTGCACGACAGATGACCACTGAAGGCGAGAAAACATCAATACTAATTATGTTATCAAACGATATAGAAGTTTAAAATGTTTATGAAGAATTCAAACCTGTGATTGACCATTGTTCTTATCATGAATCCTAAAGAGTTTGTATTCTATGCCAGCCTGAACAAACTCAAAAATGACTGGTTTTGATTCTTCTAAATCAATCAATAACGCGACAATTTTTTGCTGTGTTGTTGTCATTAACGGCGCAGGCGGGGTGTGAGTGTTATCTAAACTCTTGTTGCACTCTTCTGTTGTACTTAAAAAGTCTACAATTCCTCTAAAATTATAAAATATATGTTTTAAGTGCTTTATACAAATTTCAATAAAAGTAGTAGCTTATAAGCATACTACAATACTAACTTCGCTATGATGCGAGGACTGCAAGTAGATTTTAATTTTTCTAATACATCTAAATGAGTCGAAGTGTCCCAGTCACTATCCGTGAGCCTTTGTAATTGCTTCTTTACGAATTTATCTACAATAGGCACATATCGTGATTTTATACCCTTATCATTTATTAGTATCTAACAGAAATAATCTTACCCGTTACTATACGAACATTGAAAAATCTTTTTGGTCCATTTCTACTATCTTTTCTTAAAATTTTACTTTCATTAATATATTGTTTCAATTTCACAAGCGGGCAATGTGTCATTGATTCAAACGATGTATTAAGATCACTGGAATCGTATGAGTGTTCAATCTTTACAACTTCTTCAATGCATGTGTTAGATGTATCTAAATTTATTTGAGGAACATCAGCATTCTCGGTTACTTGAGATTCGTTGCTGTTTAATTCCATGCTACCATTATTATCAACTTCAGTAATTATTTCATTTGAAGTAGGGGAATTATTTTCGCATTCCTGTTTCGAACCTTCATATTCCTCTTTTGATTCGATCTTCATTTCGCTTAATCCACTATCCACATCTATGTCCAGTGGATCTTTTATTTTCGAATTATTTTCAGATGAATGATCAGCGTCAGTACTGACCAGTTCGTCAACGTTATTTTTGTCTATAACATTTGTTGTGATAGAATTTACAGTGTTTACAAAATTAGATTTGATCTCCTCTCTCTTATTGCTACATTTTTTTTCTAACTCGTTATCATCATCTTTTACCATTTTCAAAATTGGAGCATTATATTCTCTACATTTCGTTTTCACTACTTTCGTTTCTTCTGCTGTCGTATTTATATCAATTTCGGAATTATTACCGGCAACGGTTTGTGGTTGCACGTTTATATTTGTTACATCTTTTACTTGACATTTCCGGACTTGTGGACTATTATGTATCGAATTTGTTTGTTCGATTACTGTACTTTTCGGGACATGTGCGATACGAGGTCTTTTTGTAGGTACGCAATTATCATCGTTAACAGTTTCCTTTTCATTGGCTAAGTGGTTTTGTTCTACTCTTTGATGGTCTGAAACATTCTGACTCGTTTTTATAATTTTACTGGTTTTCTTTAAATTTCTTAATTTTTTTAACAAAACTTGTCGACTACCGCACTTTTTCGGTTCCTGATGTTCATTTGTACGAAGTTTCCTCTTTCTAGTACAACTTGTAGAGTTAAAGGTAGAAGATTCTGTTTCCCTTTTATTTTCCGTTTTTTCTGTATGTTCATCTAACTTCAATATTTCGGGATCAATGCTTGTTTCCATTAACTTACTAGATTTAATTGCTTTTACAGGAGATTTTTTCGCAAAGTGTAGTTTCCTAGGTTCAACGTTTTCCGTAAAAGACGATGCATTTTTTGTAAAAGGTTTTACTTCCGGCATAGTCTTACGCTTCTTAGAACTTGAACGTGTACTTATGCCTGTTTCGAGTTGTTTAGCCGACTCAACCGAATCTGACAGTATCCCTGAGTCAGTTTCACCTCCTACAAATTTACTAGTTTCAACAGAGTTTTGTATTGCCTCTTCAATTTCATCAGCTTCATCTGTATCGGTATATTGAATGGAACATGACGTTTTCAGTCGACTATTACAGTTTGAACGTAGAATCGATTTTTCTACAGGCGATACATTCTTAGATTCCATACTAACACTTGCATTTATATGAGTACCATCGTTAAATGCATTATCGTATGAATTAGTATCGGAATCACTTATTGACTTTTCGAAATCTTTATGCTTACTTAGCAACGAATTAGATTTACTGAGTAGCATAGAATGCTGATATTTACGTTTTTTAAGCCTTCTTCTGAGAGGGGTCTGCTGTACTTTTTTCGGGACCGTTTCAACATTCCAAGAGCCGGCACATCCACTTTGCAACCTTTTTTTACGTTTTATGAGAGATGCTTTACATTTACTTGAATTTTTATTTCTATACTTATGCATATTAAATCGATCCTTCTCCTTGGTATCGTAAAAATCGGCCATCCTCTTCCACAGCTCCATAAAATTCAACTGCATACAATTACTGTTGTACATGCAAACATTTGGATATTTATGTTGCCAACAGTTACCGCTTTGTTCTGATTTCCTTTTATTGAATTTCTGTTTGATCTTAGTTTCTAACATGTCAATCCTCTTTTGTAATGAAGAAATAAGTGACAACGAAGATGAAACCGTTGTTATATCTTCACAATGATTGTTTTGGTCACTTGTACTAGAGCTTGTCATTGAGGGAGAATTAACCGGTATTGACCCAATATAATAATTTGGTTTTTGAGGAAGATTATGACAATAATCTGCACGGTTTAATGCAACTGGATTATGCAAAGGTAAAAGTTTCGTAGGAATTAAGTCGACATGATTGTTTTGATCTTGTAAATGCGGTAATTGTGTTTCAGACAATATCGGTAGGCTTTCAGTTGCATAGTGTTCATTATCCAGATCATTTGAAATTTCTAAAGATGGTAGAGCTTTTTTAGGAGATGAAATTTTTTCAATAAGTCTTGGACATGACTCCACCATTATTTTGCATATCTTTTCAAGAGGAGCTGGTTTTAAATGAACTTCACATTTGGCACAAAATATAGGATACATGTCGTTTACGTCATAAAATTCATTAGTCATTATACATTTGTGCGCGACTTTCGGTTTTAGCACTATATCGTCGTTAGCGAATATTGTATTTATTCCAGCATCTTTCATTTTGACTCCTATATAAAAATGAAATTGCATTTAGTATTAAACATATAATCATTTATAAATTATTATAACAATGACTTGACATACTAGTATTGTTATTACTGCTGTTTTCCATTGAAATTTTCTTTTCCATCTTCTTAATTTTTGTATCATAAGACTTCTTAACATTTTTTAATTCTTGTTCAACTTCTTTAATTTTCACTGTAAAGGAAAACTTGTATTAAAAATTTTAAACCAAACAAATTAATATGTAACTCACCCTGTAACGAAGACTTTTCTAAATCATACTGCATAATCTTATCATTCTGCTGTTCTTCTACATCTTTTATTTTACATATTAATTGCTGTATATGTTGCTGATCCGCTGCTAACTTTATTTGATATTCATTTACTTGTGCTTTTAAAGTTTCAATGTTCTTTTTATACTCTGTATTTTGCTGGATAGAAAACATTAATTTAGAACAAACTCAATACAATAATATTAAAAGAAATATTTCTGAGTTATTTAGCATTATACTTACAAGTTCCAATTTAATAACTTTAGCTAATGTAGAATTATAATTACACGAGACTTTCTTTGTTTGTTTAGTTGCTGCATCTAAGTCTGTTTTTAAGCGTTCACATTCTTTCAGTTTGTCATTATACTGTTTAATCACTTCACTGTAAAAACATTCCTTGTTAAATTTGTTTAGCTAAAATGATGATGAAAACAAATGATTTATATTTCAGATAACTTACTGAGTTTCACAGATTTTTTGCTTTAACAACAAATAAGATTGCGTTAATTTTTCCAAATTGGAGTGACCATCCTGCAACACAGTACATATTTATATTTAAATTCCTTAGAAACAATGATTTAAGATCACTAAACGATAGTTAATATTTTTATTATTTTTGTAGTATACTTTAGCAGTATTATAACAACATTTTTCATATAAATCTTTATTGAATTTACAGATAGTATAACCTTAAAATAACCTAAATAATGAACGTTACTATATTTAATTCATAGGGAATGACTTAAAAATTAAAATGCTCACTTGTATCGTTCCGTTTGCTGTTAAATCCGGAAGATTATTGTCCATATTGACTCAAATGACAAAAAAGTATTATTTACATTACGGTTATTTATTATGTCAAACACCGAAAGACAAACACGTTTATGTATACCCTTATACACCGCGGTCAGAAAATAATCATATTGCCGCACTGGTGGTTGGCGCATGCTTTGAGAATGAATCGTAGTGTCACGATGTGAATTGGAATTTTTAAACTACATAAACTGATGCACCTTACTGACTGCTTTGTCTACTTCTACTCATTTTTGCTCATTATATTCACTTTAGTTAGACAAACAGAGCATTTATTCTATCCAATCGCATGAAATAATAAAATAAAAGCTGTTCCAGACTCGGTAAGTGATATATACACTTCGTTACTCGTATAAGAATACAAAATAATAGAAACGAGTAAATAAATCGAGGGTGTTGTTAATGTATGTATGAAATTTATTAGTTCACCAATCATAACAGCGCTATGCTCAAAGGTTAAACTTAGAGTATAGTTAAGAATTACGTTTAGTTGTTTCACGTTCATTCGAATATGAAACATTCCAAGTTTACAAAGTATATATATATTTATGTAATATACATATACTAAACATAACAGTGACATATCTTTCGTTGCAGAAGTACTACTCAATTAACACAAGATGTCGTTTTAATATATAAATTTATAATGATTTAATACATTTTTATTGTTTAATTTAGTATAATAATAACATTAATGAACTAGTTAAAATAAAAAGTAATAATACAATTTTACTGTGTGAGTGAATGCATCTGGATGTTTCTTTTCACGTGGGCCATTCTTTCTCGCGGAATGATTGGTTATTTCATAAAGTTCATTGTCTGTCGATAGGTATTACGTTTACAAATGTTCGTTAGTTTTACTTCACATTTCTTTTTCTTCTTTTTTCAAAACGCACACTATCTATGATCCCCGTTGAGCTTCGAATGAATTCCGCTTAATAATCTAACTGATCCTTGAAATAACGTGGCAACAGTCACAGACACGTAGCAAGCTAGGTTTTCAACAGAAGGGAACTGATTGCTTAAAGATTCATTTATTGGCTAAGAAGTGTTCTTATTTCTTTGTGCATATGGCAAAGGAAGTCAACGTAACTAGGACTTCCGTCATTTCCTCTATCCTCGATCAAGAAATGACGCATTACCATTTCAAGTTTCTCTCTCTGTCTTACTATAGTTAACTGAAAAAAATTCAATAGAACACAAATGTAATTAAACTTTCATCGAATCCTGTTTTAATATTTGCTTACCCTCATGCAACGATGCCTTTCCATGCGTACGCGATTAATAATATCCGTTATTCGTTTGTTCAGTTGTGTATCTAATACTGGCAGTGCGGTACGATCCGTATCAACTTGAACTACCGATGGAACCCCGAACACTGCCTGGACCCATTGCGGAGAAAGTGCCAGGCCTAGCCACAAGAACATGTGGATACTATTTTCTAAAAGTGTACAAAAGAGAAAATGAATTGTCAAGAAAGTTTAAAAATACGGAAAATCCAGTGAGCAGTATGTTTACCAAGTAAGTATGCACCGTCCTCGGCGAACTTGTCAATAGAACAGCGCAACATTTGTGGTAACTCTGTATCTTGTGGATCGATATCGTGTAATGGAAGTAATCTCGGATAAATATACGCAACTGATATTGAGATAGGCATTGTTGCAACTGCTTGCATAACAAAAGATCTATCATCAATAGTCATATCAGCACCTGAAAAATTTAATTCATATTATCATATTTATCGTAAATGTATTGGGAATATAAAAACGTAAATATACCTCCAGACAATGCGTCGCTCTTTAACAACGAATTGATGTAAAGTGGGAGCAACTTCATGCACTCTGGTAATATTAATTGACCCGCGTTAGATGCAGAAGCACAATGTTTTCGATACGCAGCCAGCATATTTGCACATCTTGCGATTAAATTGTCCTTTACAGTTTTCGGGGTTGATTCAATTAGTTTGAAAACACCTAAATAATTATCAGTTTGAATTTAGGATACTTAGAAAATTTAATTGTCCGGCTAAATACTAATGGCTTAAATCTTACTTTGTTTGGAGAAGTAATTTATAATAGCGTCGAGGTCACATGCTCGATATAGTTCAGCCATCTTCGGCGAAGTTTTTAAACTAAGATTAATGATGCGCAATCTTCTAATTCCCCCGCATGAAGTATATAATAAAGCTGCTTGAATATATACACCCTCGTCGTCTGTGAGTTTATCATCATGCTTCACTTCTACAGCGATGGCCTGTAATATACGACGTGAACATTTGATGCATAGTTATAATACAATGCATAATGTGACTTCATATTATAAATAATTCTACCTTGTTACAATCTATACTAGCTAATTCCATATCTGTTGTATTTGACATGAAGAAATGTCCGAAGAAATCAGTAGCTCGAACACCAGTAGATGTACGTACGCGCATAACGGAATCAAATGCAATTGGTCTACTAATGTTCTCAATAATGTCTGAAATTAAACGTTCGCCATCTATGTCAGCCTAAAAAGTGAAAAAAAAAAAATTATATGTATGTTCCATATATAGTACGATACATAACCTCAAAATTCATTACTTGGAAATAAGTGTATTTATAAACTTCTCCACCAGTTAGTCGGGCAACTTGCCCTATTGTAGCAATATCCACATACGAATTATTAAAAATAAACAAATCTACGGAACATCCAGAACCCACGCATTCTTGTCCTAAGTTATTGTAGACGCTATTCTGTGGAGCTAAAAGGGAGAATTAATTTTACATTATCGATAACGGAAAACATTTACTGGTACCATGTGAATAATTTACCTAACACGGTTTTTTCTTTCTCGGTTCCAAGTACTTTACGATCATCGCGATTTTTCAATTTACCAGGGGCTTCAGCAATAGGCAGAGAAGAGTGGAAAACCATTAATTTTCCAGCACAATCTGAAGCCTTAAACGATAATTGTTAAAGTTGTTTAAATGTTTCCGTTTACTTTATATCACGCGTTATTCAAAATTCTTCAATCTATAAAAAATACCTTCAGTGCTTCCAATCCAGCTTGTATCGCCGGCGCAAGAATTGTTTCCGTTTCACGAGTGTCTGCAAACATTGCTGGTATTTGCATCATTAAACCGTCAATAACTGATTCACTTTCTTCAATATCGCATAAAAATCCGTCAAGAAGTGGCATAAATACATCTTGTATGTCTCCCACAACCATCATTTGTGGTTGAGCAAGGCAGGAATTAATATTGTAAAAGTGTACTGTATTATTGTATGTTATAAATCCTACTTTCATGTTTGTTTTCGATTGCCCAGCGTCAACAGGTAGATTCCGTAAAATTGATTTCATTTCCATGCATAATAGATTGACTAAACCAGATTTAATTGTGTTGTACGATACATCGATTACGAACACAATAGCTGGTGGTTTTGGATAAGTAGTATTCTAAAAAGTAATGAATGTTACTTATGATAACAACTCGACTAATTAATTATTAGAGGTTTACTCTTGTCTTACTCTGCAATATTCTTTCGTAGCAATGTATTCGTACGTTCCCAGCATTAATTCTGGTCTTTCATAACGATCCATCCGTTGACCGGTATGATCCAAATGTTGGAAGTACTCTGCTGGAACTAAATTAAGAAAAAGAAAGAAGTAATAATTTTAATTAATAAATATGTTAGGAAGAAATTAATTTCACCTTCCGTTGTTGCTTTACAAAACATGCATTGGAATCTTCGGCCCGCATCGATAAATTGCATGAACGGACTCATGTACGCTTTGCATCGTACGCAACGAACTGGACCAATCTCTCCCATATCTACAATAGGCGGTTCGTATTCGCCTTCCGCTATACGAGCCATTGGACTTATTATTAATGCAAAGGGGACATTCGTCTGTAGATAAAAATTATTATAAATTACGTGAAATTACATTAATAACTTGATGTACTTAGTTATTAAATTTACTTGTTTTATAATATCTGCTGTGGTAGGAACAGTGTACATAGTAGATCTAATGTATCTAGGGGATGCATTCCCTTGATCCTGTGTCACAAATGTGGTGGTTACTAGTGGTGGAACCAATCCCTTTTGATTTGTTACAAATACACCGCTTCTGGCGCATTGGTCGTCTTGCATTACTTGAATCTTCATACACAATTTTATTTGAGGTTAGTTTGAAGTATCAGTCCATAATAAAATTATAGTAATGTTTAATCGGATCTTTTACCGAGCTTGGCATGTGTTCAGGATCTAAACGTCTTGCTTGTTGTGGTTGAATGTCTGGTTGATATCCACCTGGTGCTCCAATCGCGCCACCTTGATATGAACCTCTTTGAGCATTGTACATGTCCTGCTGTAGAAAATTTATAATATAACTTGAATAACTTTCAATTACATTCAAACTATATTAGAAGTACCGCTACAAACATACATTATTATAGCCTTGATATCCTGTCTGTTGGTAGTTTGGCATTGTACCAGGTGGGTTACGGTTAAGCCCTAAAGTTCCCATACTTTGTCCCTGCATTGGAGAACCAGGTGTGTACAGTTTTTGACCTTGCTGTAAATTCATAGCTGGATTCATCATCTGGCCTACAGATTGACCAGGTAATGGAGGATGTGGACCAGTTAAATTTTGTCCTCCTAATGGTGGTCTGTTATAACTCTGTTGATTTGGTAACGGAGGTGCATTAACGTTTTGTTGACCAGACATGGGAGGTGGAGGCATATTTTGTTGACCCATCAATGGAGGACCCGACATATTTGATTGACCATGTTTTAGCTGTCCTTGCAGTGGAGGATATTGTCCTGGTAAAGGTGGTCCCGGAAGTGGAGGACCAGATATATTTGACTGTCCTTGCAAGGGTGGACCTGATAAATTCTGTTTGGACATAGGAGGTCCAGATAAATGCATTTGTCCTGGGATTAACGGAGTAGAAAGACTTTGTTGTCCAGATGAAGATGAACTAGACACGTTTTGTTGTCCTAATGGTATAGTAGACAAATTCTGTTGTCCTGGTAATGGTGGAGCTGTAGATTTTTGCCCTGTTGTCGGTGGCCTGGTAAATTTCGGCTGTCCAGTGGATGTATCAGTGACATTCCCTAAACCAGGTTGACTTGGCAAAGGTAATCCTGCTTTGAATCCAGAATCAGGTGATGCAGCAGGATAATATTGTCCAAGAGTAGTTCCTGTAGAATGTCCAGAGAATGGAAGACCAGATTGAGTTGTAGAAGGAATTGTTGAAGCCGATGTGTGCTGCTGTATATCCTGCCCAGGCACGGGTGGTCCAGATTGTCCACCGGGATCGGTTTGTCTAGTAGATCCTGTTATAGTATAATACAAGTAATATACATGTGTTGAATTTCATCATTTAATTACTGCTTTTTTTCAATCAGTACCTGATGATGTTGCGCCCAACGCGTTATTAAATCCGTTAACGTTTGAGAGCATGGATACTGTTGGACTGCTTTTGCCAGGTAAGGATGGTGGAGGATAATTTTGCTATGTATTCAATAACACACAATTCAAGTTAACATAAGTCAAATAAATAATAGTAAATAATATTTAAACTACTATTGTTATTTCATTTAATTTTAATTACCGCAGATGGTGGTCTTTGTTGATCCCCTAGGGACATATTTGTCATTTGATTAACTATATTGTTTTGACTTGGTGGAGGTGGTACCATATGTGGATTATTTGTTGATAATTCATATTGAGTATTTACTAAAAAATATAATATTATATTTGTGCACATATACACAGTACTTCAATAAACAAAAACAGAAGTAGATTGTTACCTTGTGGTAGCACATGATTCATATAGTATGGAGCAGGAGGTTGATGTAAATTGGTATGCGGAGCTCCTTGCATTGGTTTTTGAGATCCATAACTTTGAGAGCTCATTGGAGGTTCCTTTGCAACATTTGGTGGGAGATTAGAATTTAATTCCTCATAAGGAGATGAGGTTGGAGGTCCAGGATAATAGCCTGGCTGTTGCTGTGCCTGTTGTTGTTGCTGTATATATTGGGGATTCATTTTTTATCCTAAAAAAAAAGAACAAAAAATCTCCATAAACAAATTACTATGCATTTTCAGGTGAATTGAAAATTTGTATTTTGTCAAGAAAAATTATTTGCTTATGTAAAATTACTTAAAAAATGGAGTAAAACTTCACTTTGATTTAGTCGTTTTTGTAAACATTTTTATTTTATTAGTAGTATTGCAGTTTAAGAACACATTTGTAAAATAATAAGAAGTATACAATGTTTTCAATAGTGTTAACAGATTGTACAAAGTATTTGAGAAATTACATTCATAAGAAATAATTTATTTAGTAAACAGTATGTGTTTATTTATTGTACGAACCGAAGTCACATGAAAATATAAACGATAAAATTGTTAGCACGTTCAGAAATTTGTAAATTAATAACAAACGTTCAAAATATGCTAGGCATTGACAGACGTAAGATAACCTATACAAAGTCAACTTTGTGAACAGCATGTATCATATCAGGTGCTGATTACACGTACAATGGAGGTATTAGTTACATAAAGACATTAGTTCTGTATTATAATTAAGCGTTAAATTTTGTTGCTTTGTAATAGTAAAAGAGAACAAGCCATTTTGCACATGATGATAAAAGCTACCAAGCCACACGAACCTGAAATTCACAGAATATTTATTGATTACTCACGTTGAGTTGTTAAATATATTTGAACCATAACAAAAGTTAATATTTCCACAAATGTTTACAATAAAATGATGAAAATGTACTTCGCTGCAATAGTGACTGCTGCCGATGCCACGTAAGGTGGCATTGCGCATGCGCCTGATGCACGTTGACGAGACCACGTCATGATAAAAATTAGAGCATTGTCGACGTGAAATTTAAATGGAAACACGAATGTCTTTTGTTATAATCTACATTTATTCTTAAAGATAAGTTTACAAACCGATGAAACCCTAAAAGAATGATAAGCATTTCCTAGATTATTTATATTACTACAAAACAAAATATACGTTGTAACTTTACACTTAATTGGTTGGTACTTTCAACAGCGCATTATTTAAAGATGTAACATTATATTTACTGTCTTTACCATTAAAATTATGTTCCGGTCATTTCAAATATAAAACTTCAGTTTAGGGTTAGGGTTAGGTTAGGAAACAGCTGTTCTTGAACCTCATCCACTTGCCGTGATATAATCACTATATCATACGTGTATTTTTTGTTCTTCTTTTTTTCTGGTTTTTTTTTTTTGGTGTTGTGTTTTATTACTTTATAATGAAGGCGTTAAATAAAATAAAATAAAAACAAGTTATCGAGTATAGTTATTTTATACCTGTTCATACGTGCTGTAAATACAAAATATCATTAACGAGATACATAGCACAAATATTAAATTAATGGTTTATTTAAATATGATAAGATCGATATAAAAAAATTACCTGTATCGTTAATATATGATATAAATGAATGATGTAGACGAGTTTTATTATATCGAGGGTGCCCCATAAAACGCTTAATATCACATCAACTGCGTACGTTTCATTATCAATGTACATGTAGATAACACTTGTATGGAGACACATGTATAAAATATATACTATGGACACGATTTTTAATTGAAATCTATACCCCTCATTTACGAGTGACACAGTTTTGCATAAGTTTAATTGGAGCAGTTCTAATAATTTTAATCTGCAACCTAAATATTGAGATCAAGTAATTTTGTTGCTATTTAAAAGAATACGAAAATATCTTCAGGTAGAGCAAACTCACCAGTGTTTACACTAGCCATATCGCTAATGGAAAAGTGACTTTTTTCTTTCGTAATAGTTCTTAGAATCGAATTTACTTTTGCAAATCTGAATTTAATTTTATTTATCAGTATCGCGAACGAACATATTATGATTGTATTGACGAAATCGGGTATTCGATCTAGTATCCACATTAAAACGTACATATCGCTATCGGGATTGAGCAGAAATCCATAATAATCCATTAAATTAAAAAGTATCACGAAAAATATTACATTCATGATTCGAACGATATCGTCTTTCATACAGCGCGCATGATCAATTTCTGTATTGAAGAATTTTATATTCTTGTCAATGTTATTTATCTTCTCGTGTACTCTTCGTATATTGATGCTATAATGCATACTTGATATCATCATCGATGGCAATAAAATGATGTTCGTACAGTATCGAATCATGCGGATTTTTGTGATGGTATTTATGGTATCGATCATTTTTAGTACAGAAAGCGCGTATTCGTTTACAATTAACAGTAGGGTGTAATAAATCGTTAACAATATAATTACGTACAAGTATTTCATGCACGATACTTTGCAAAATTTTATGGGGTACAAACCTAAAAAGGAAACAAGATGTTTCAGTACTCCCACTCAACTTTTTAATACGCTATCCTAGAAGATATTTGTACAACGATGAATTACCCAAAATCTTTATCAAGCTCAATAAAAACCAAGACTCCTCGTACACATTAGAGGGATGTAACAGCTCCATAACTGACACTTTTTTGCTAGAACGAAATGCGACTAAACAGATTTACACAATATTTCATGTTATGTTGCTTTCGTGTATTGAGTTTGTCAATAATTAGATGTGCATGTTAGATAATGTTGCATAATTAATTAGAAACATTACGATACGAGATCTAAAAACTGTTACAGTCCAGTTTGCAATTGATCGAAAGTAAATGTACCAGAACTCATGAATTAATAAATAATGGTTTAACATTTAGATCAATAGACTATGTATTGTCTAAAAACAAATATAATACATTATTATTAGTGTTCTTTTGTTAAATATTCATTATTTTTAATATTTTATTAATTAAATCGACGACTTGTGAGAAAGTACATTTTATTATTAGCATGGCCATCTAGCGGTCAACAGATGGAACTAAGTTCGGAGTTTGGTCAGCGCCTCTATCGGGAAAACGCTCAAGTTTGTCGTCGATTAGTTCCCCTTGCAACGCTAGATGGAGCCATTTGTATTCGTAAATTTTTTTGTTGCTATATGCAAAAACAAATAAGAGCTCAAGCATTATAATATTATAATTTATATAATAATCAATTTTTAACCCAATACCTTTTATTTTTTTAAATAAATTAAACAAATGGCGCCATCTAGCAGTGCAAGCGGAACTAATCGGCGACAAACTTGAGCGTTTTCCCGATAGAGGCGCTGACCAAACTCCGAACTTAGTTCCATCTGTTGACCGCTAGATGGCCATGCTAATAATAAAATGTACTTTCTCACAAGTGGTCGCTTTAAATAATAAAATATTAAAAATAATGAATATTTAATAAAAGAACAGTAATAATGTATTGTTTCTTTTATTTTTAATCATTTTACATTAGCTGATATTGTTCTAAGGACCTCAAAACCTTGATAATATCTTAATTGCAAAAGTTGTCAACCCTGGAACTTGAGTTGTCACCTGGGTTTTCGTGTTTTGTTAAAATATGTTAAATGTACGCTATGTAAATAAACATAGCGATAGATGTGTCTGTCAAATTTACTGATAATTATAAAATTAAACACGTTCACCTCTACCTGATTCACTTCTAGTATGTTTTCTAACTCGGAACTGTAAAAAATTGTGATCGAAGATGAACGAAAGTGAAACAAGTAATACGAATGTCTTGACATATTCCTTTGTTTTTCATAGTTTTAATAAAGATTGATAGCGTAACAATGTGTATAAATAAAGTATACAATAATGATTAGATTAGTATGTTAACCTAAAGATTTGCTAGATGATTGTTAAAGGGAGAAATTTTCTACTGCAGATAAGAATCTTTCCACGCAAAAGATATTAGTGGCTGGCCATGATCCTGGCTGGAATGATCCTCCAAAATGGGCATATTCTGGTGTTCAAAGTTCTGCAAGCACACCTACTAAGCGCACACTTAATAAGCGGGTTGCATTTCCATTAGCTCCTACACAAACTATAAACAAAGATTCATCTTCTCAGAATGTATCAACGGCTATGCCACCACCACTACAATCTTCCACTAATTTAACAACAGCATCTCATCCTCCCTTGATGCTACCCACCAATATAGAAGGAAAGATAAATGAATTAAAAATTGATAAAGAGCAGGCATTGAACGATGTCTTATTAAACTTTGAGATTGTAATCGAGGAATATGTCTTAGAAAAAAGTAAAGCAGAAGAGGTGAAGAAAAGGCTAGATGTACTGAAGGTTGCATGGCTTGAGGATAAATTAAATAATGCAATTCACGAAAAAATTTTAGATTTGTCTACAGGTTGGGTTTATGTAATATTTCTCTAAGATAATTATATTAATTATTTTGTTAAAAACAAAAAATAATAATAGAGGCATTTTTCAGCTTTACGAAAAGGAGACATTGAGAATGCGGATCGAATACACGTCGCATTAATGATGCAATACGCTACTCTATGCAGTCCTTGGATACCTGGCATTAGGCATATTATTTTAGGATTAAAAGCCAAATTAAAAAACTCGAGTGCAATGGAGTCCCAGAATTCAGAGTCCGAATTATTACCGGTCGATGTAAAGGAATAAATTATATAATAAAAAAAAGTTCCTTTTATTCATATGTATAATAAATTAATTAAATGCTATTCAAAAATATGTGTAGACGCAATTTTTGTCCCATCACACGAGAAGAATAATAAAAGCTTTATCGTAGCCGTTACAACTATTGGTGTAGGGCTTCTAAAAAAAAGTTCAAGTCCACTGTACTCATAAAAGTTTCTTGTATTTCTCATTTCTCTCTTATGTATATTCACAAAGGACAATTACATCTTACTTATAACATATTCATCATTCTAAATGTACTCTTACGTCGATAATAGTCATCGATAGCAATGATCAGTTTACATTCTATTACTTATCGTCTACGAATCGCTACTAAACTCTAAGCATACTGTGATTCATCGCTCAAGCACACCCGCGTTGTTTAATTTTTTTGTTTGTTTTAAATCGGTCATCACGCCACGCGCATTTCGAAAATTCCCGAGCCGTAGCGGCCGATCGAGATGCGCGTCGATCGATGCTCGTTTCTTCGTTCCTCCACTTTGTTTTTTTTTCCACTTTTCATTTTTCACGTCGTCGCCTCCCTGCGCGATTCCAATGAAAAAAAAAATCAAAATAGAAAACACAAGAAACAAGACGGTTACGAACAAAAAAACATTTTTCCCATTTCGCAATATCGTTTCGTTTACCGTTGACCGATTTTTCGAGTCGAGATACATCCTCTTTCCACACGATTGCTTCGCTAGTCCTTTCGCTGGTTCGGCTCGTTTGTTTAATCTTTTTTTTTTTGTGGCGCAATCGAACGGCGAAAGACGGTAAAACGCTTTACATGTAAACAAATACACATACACGTACACGTGTACGTGTATATATATTTATATATTCATTATAAAACTTACATCTTAACTTACGACCATCTATTTTAAATCGTCAATATATTAGATTTTTCTCCCATTCGTCGTTTTTATTTCCATTTCATCATTTAATCTCGCGTAAATAAATATTTATAAATACATTTGGGCCCGACGCGAGCTGTGGGTTCCCTCGATGGATCTAGGCGCGCTCCGGCATATTTTCAACCGATCCATGGATCCGTGGATCCTTCTCGGTTCCGTGGATCGTCGACGATTTCGCGAGCGAAAAGAAAAAACGAAAAAAAGAGATGATACGATTTCCATTTAAACTACGCGCGAAAGAAAAGATTTAATCATTTTTTCCTTCTTATACTAATCACACCACTTTCCGCTCGCTTC